AATCATATGGTGACTACACAGACTTTGAACAAGTGAGGACTATGGAATCAGGAGAGCCAGGTGTCTGATTAATCGAAATTAATACTATTAGAAAGCTGATCAGCTGCACTATAATGAAAATCTCATTGCAATTGATTTAACTTAATAAGTTACAATTTTATTAATCAGAATTCCTGCTGATTAAAGAGCATAAGGATTTGGATGAGCTGAAAGTCTACCTACGAATATGAGAAATGAAAGAATCCATCTCCGAGCGACTAACACCACCTTCTATAACAGAACCCTTGACAGCTTTGCTCAATTCTCTGGCTCTTTGCCTCATCTCTTCTCCTTCAGCTGAATCCATCAATCTTCTCACAGCATTTTCAACAGTTATGGATGTCACAAGTTCATTCTGCTTCGACCAATCCCTTATTATTAGACCAATCTTGAGCACCTTTCCAGTAGTATCGCGTTTCTGGGCTGGTCAGAATGCATAGGCCATGCTGCCACGGGTACTCCCATGCTAATGCTTTCTATGCACGAGTTCCATCCGCAATGACTCATGAATCCACCTGTTGATGAATGTCCAAGAATCTCCAGTTGGGGCGCCCAATCCCTCACAACAATTCCCCTTCCTTCAATTCTCTCTTCAAATCCTTCTGCAGCTGAACTCTCCTATCTTCTCCCTGGAAGACGTCTCCTTTATCTGCATCCCTCAGTACCCATATGAAATTTTGCCCACTTTTATCTAATCCAGTTGCAATCTCCTTGGCTTCTTCATCAGACACCGAAGTTTGAACCAAAAGAAATGAAAATGACCGAATCTGGCGCTTGTTTGTCCAGCCAATTCAGGCAATAGTGTCTCTTTCCGAGTTTTTCTGCCCATTCATCTCAACTGGATTGAAGGGTCCAATAGCCCATTGCTTGTCTGAATCGGTTATTTTGGATTTAACATGGAGGTCAAGGTATGGACCCTCTATAGCTCTACAAGTGTTGAACAGGTAGCCAGAGCTAATTGGCTTAAAATCATTTTGAAATTTTACAAAGTCAGTCAGCTCTTGGGGGAAGCAACTTTCCCATGTTGGAAGATCTTCGAGTGGTTCGAGTAGTTCAGGCTGGGATAGTTCAGGTTTCCCTTCTGGTTCCCCAAAAAACGAGTATATAGTGAAGGCTGAGGAGCTTGGAAAGCAGTAGGACTCTGCGTTCGGGATTAAACGCACATCCTGGATGACATATGGCATCAGAAAGTCATAAATAACTACCAATCTTCTTGTTGTGCAAGAAAGTTGTTGCAGAAGTGCGTAAACTGGCTCACGGAGTTTGATCGATGCGTTGAATGCTGGGATGAGTTGTATGGGATATTTTGTTGGGGCGTTTGGATCCGGAGGAGGAGTTTCATAAGAAGGGATGGACAATTCATGGAAATGGATGTTGGAAATGGCAAGAGGATCCCAACCGTGGACACGAACCTTTGCCTGGCGGTTGTGAGGCCGTGCCAACATAGTGAACAGGTATATCATAGGCGGAGATGAGGCGGGAGAGATGGAGAGCTGGTTGAGATGGCCCTGTGCTGGAAGGGGAACCATGACCACAGTCACTTCATGAGTTTCTCGAATAATACCAACTGGGCTTTGGACTCTTGAATGATCATCCATGGCCATTGGAAAGATTTTGGAACTGGAAATTTTGGAAAGCTCTTTTATTTTGTCAGCTTGTTAGAATTGCTTTGGTCGTTTGCTCTTATAAGGTGTAAGATGGAAGCTGGGGAGAGTCGTTAATCGGAGTTGGAACTGTTGCTGGTAACTCTTCGGATGTGTAATAATGTTACGGATTATTATCACTTTACTCCCTCAACGTTTGGTGCTACTATCAATTTTACCCTTAACATTATTTTTTAGTCCCTTAACATTATCCAGAAGGTTGTGGAAGTAGTTTTTTTTAGTAAGTTCCGTCACAATGATATCTTCAAGATTGGAAATTGCTTTGTCAGTGGAAGCCCGCAATATACGACTAGCCATGCAATGACAAGAAAACATGAAAAAAATATTACTTTTATTGTTTATTTCGTATCCAACAAAGATTGAATGATGTAACATTTCTTTGATGAATTGAAAACTGGTAGATTACATTTATGCTGGATGAATTAGGTTTGATTATTTTTGGTTGGAAAAAGACAAAACGTCCAGCGGACTATCGTGCCAAGCTCTGTTTTCATCTCCAAAGAGCATGTTCATCACTTTAATTGCCTGTTTGTTTTCTAAGATTGCCATTTCTCAAAATTTTGATATTTATCAGCTTTAACTTCTAAAGACAGTGGCAGAGGCAGGATCTTTGGTTAGGTTTAAACTTACAATGTATTGATTTGTAGATTTTTAGAACATTGTATATTCATTATACAAGCACGCTAATTTGTTCAATAACCAATGTTACAAAAATTGAACAAAAAATCAATAGCTCGTGATTTTTTTTCGTTTGCTAGGTTATTCTAATCGTATAAAATGGTATAGTAATTAAAATTAAGCATTAGAATACAATATTTAAATTCTAATACGTCTAGAAAGTGAATATTTTGTATGCAATCGAACCATGAAATGAATACTTGGTTCACTTGTAATTCATGTGATTTAACATTAAGAAAAGTTCAATATTAAGTAAATAGCATATGTAAGAAAGGAAAAAGCTAACATCCTATCATATATTTTAGTTCAATGTTTCATTGTGGAAATATTGAAGGTAGTTTTAAAAATTTTAATACTTTTGGGGCACAGTCTGAGGGTTAGAAGGAATACTATCAAAATTCACAAGGAGCAAGAGTGAGACAAAAATTTTAAATTTTTTACAGATTATTTTACAGTTTCTATTGAGGGAGTGGTCAGACTGCATGTGGCTCTGCCACCGGCTAAAGATGTCGAGAAGTTGAAGGCCGAAAGTCTTAAGAACTTGCAGCGTAAGAAAAAGGCAAATTGGTTGGTTTTTGGGGTACTTCATTTCATGAATGATAGAGAGCCAAATTCCTTTTGGCTACATCAAAGTCTTCATGAGGTTATAGGATTTATATCTTTTAATAGCTAGGAAATTACAATGAAACAACATTTTTAAATTTAATAAACCAAATTGTCCGACCACTAGATGCATGTGGTTTTGTAAAGACTGCATTTCGTCCATCCTGACCGGTTGGATGACAATTTCCAGATAATGACGGAATAAAATAAGTTCATCAAATTAACAACGTACGTAGGACTAGGAGAAGGCCAAAACACAAACATTAAAGTGCCTTCTACCTAGGACTGATGATGTTTTGTGTTTCTTTATATTTTGAATCATGCGGTGAACAAGTGAGGATCATGGAATAGGAAGAGCCAAGTGTCTAATTAATCGAAATTAGTACTATTAGAAAGCTGGTCAGCTGCAGTTTACTGAAAATTTCATTGCAATGGATTTAACTTAATAAGTTACAATTTTTATTACTCAGAATTCCTGCTGATTGAAGAACCTAATGATTTGGATGAACTGAAATCTACCTACGAATATGAGCAATGAAAGAATCCATCTCCAAGCGACTTAGACCACCTTCCATAACAGATCCCTTGACAGCTTTGCTCAATTCTCTGGCTCTTTGCCTCATCTCTTCTCCTTCAGCTGAATCCATCAATCTTCTCACAGCATTTTCAACAGTTATGGATGTCACAAGTTCATTCTGCTTCGACCAATCCCTTACCTTTAGACCAATCTTGAGCACCTTTTCCAGTAGTATCGCGTTTCGGGGCTGGTCAGAATGCATAGGCCATGCTGCCACGGTACTCCCATGCTAATGCTTTCTATGCACGAGTTCCATCCGCAATGACTCATGAATCCACCTGTTGATGAATGTCCAAGAATCTCCAGTTGGGGCGCCCAATCCCTCACAACAATTCCCCTTCTTTCAATTCTCTCTTCAAATCCTTCTGGCAGCTGAGCCCTCCTATCTTCTCCCTGGAAGACGTCTCCTTTATCTGCATCCCTCAGTACCCATATGAATTTTTGCCCACTTTTATCTAATCCAGTTGCAATCTCCTTGGCTTCTTCATCAGACACCGAAGTTGTTGAACCAAAAGAAATGAAAATGACCGAATCTGGCGCTTGTTTGTCCAGCCAATCCAGGCAATAGTGTCTCTTTTCCGAGTTTCTCTGCCCATTCATCTCAACTGGATTGAAGGGTCCAATAGCCCATTGCTTGTCAGAGTCGGTTATTTTGGATTTAACATGGAGGTCAAGGTATGGACCCTCTATAGCTCTACAACTGTTGAACAGGTAGCCGGAGCTAATTGGCTTAAAATCCTGTTGCAATTTTGCAAAGTCAGTCAGCTCCTGGGGAAGCAGCTTTCCCATGTTGGAAGATCATCGAGTGGTTCGAGTAGTTCAGGCTCGGATAGTCCAGGTTTCCCTTCTTGTTCCCAGACAAACGAGTATATAGTGAAGGCTGAGGTGCCTGGAGAGCAGTAGGACTCTGCGTTCGGGATTAAACCCACATCCTGGATGACATATGCCATCAGAGAGTCATAAATAACTACCAATCTTCTTGATGTGCCAGAAAGTTGTTGCAGAAGTGCGTAAACTGGCTCGCGGAGTTTGATCGATGTGTTGAACACTGGGATGAGTTGTGTGGGAAATTTTGTTGGGGCATTTGGGTTGGGAGGAGGAGTTTCATAAGAAGGGATGGAAAATTCATGGAAATGGATGTTGGAAATGGCAAGAGGATCCCAACCGTGGACGCGAACCTTTGCCTGGCGGATGTGAGAGGCCGTGCCGACATAGTGAACAGGTATATCATAGGAGGAGATGAGGCGGGAGAGATGGAGGAGCTGGTTGAGATGGCCCTGCTGGAAGGGGAACTATGACCACAGTCACTTCATGGGTTTCTCGAATAATACCAACTGGCCTTTGGTATTGGCTTTGAACTCTTGAATGATCATCCATGGCCATTGGAAAGATAATTGGAACTGGGAAATTTTGGAAAGCTCTTTTATTTTGTCAGCTCGTTAGAATTGATTTGCTCGTTTGGTCCTGTAAGAATTGATGGAAGCTAGGGTCATTAATCGGAGTTAGAATCTGTGGCTGGTAACTCTTCGGATGTGTAATAATGTTGCGGGGCAACATTTTCCAATTCATCCAAGTCTTGTGCGGTTTGACGAAAATGAGCCCCGTACTCAATCCATTATTGTGGGACAAGGGAGAAAAATGCGAAAGTGACAATGTTGTAGTAGGCCCTCCCCAAATGTGTGTCATAAATTGATGGAATCTTCTCGATATGAGTGGCGGGTGTAAAAGAAAAAAATAACTGTTCGAATTTCGAAATGTAATTTGGCTTTTCCACTTTCTTCTGTTTTGTAAAATCTTGTTATTACGAGTGAAGAATAGGATAAGATAGTAGATTCAGTGGATAAAAGGAACGTAAGTAATTTGGGAAGCGTATAAAAGAAAAGTAGAGTGACTTTAAACTCATGATCTCTTGTATTTTGTCACTTAGTTGAATTCTCTCGCAAGTGGTTTAACTTTTTTCAAGTTAAATTTCGAAACCATTAAAGAGTGAAAATTTAATAATAGGATAGGGGTGTGTGCCATTGGATTGTCCATGAAAGCGCCAAGGGTAGGCAGGCTTACAACATCTCTCAAAGATCAAAAGAGAAAAAAGTTGCTAGTTGAATGAGCGTGTATTTCTGTTTGAATTAACTATTTTTGAGTGTGTTTTTGAAAAATTTTATGATATTAGTGTATATAAAAAAAAATTTTGAGATTTTTTTTTGAATTTTATATATTTGTATATTATTATAATATTATATTTAAAAATTTTGTTTTTTAAAAACAAGCAATCCAAACAGAGCGGCACTTTCCTCTTCTTTACTTCCAACTGCAAGTCTACTAGTGCTGCCGACTGACTCTGTTTGTTGTTCCTCAGATGCATGAGCAAGTGCTTCACTTCGTTTCTGAAAATAAAACCAAAAAAAAAAAAGAAAAAGTGAAGTAACTAGAAGTAAGAATCGGACAGAGATAGTTCAGACCCGGATTAGTGTGGCACTGTACAACAACTACCCAATTCCAAGTTTTCTGGACCAATGTACTCCTAAAATTTGACAAGTGTAGATCGATTTCATATGTGCTATCCACTATCCCTTTCCTTTTCTTTGTCCTTTATTCCTCAAATTACTTGCAAAAGCTTAAACATGTATACTCAAACTTCTAATTCATATCTTGACAGAAAAATACGAGAGACCGTAACATAAGATTGGAAAGTCTCTCATCAGAGAATTGATATAGGAGAATCCATAAAGCATAGAAAAAGAAAACAGCACAACCAATGCTTACCATGGATGATCAACTATCTTCTGCTACTTCATCCAATCAAAATTCTTATCACAGCCACTTAGAAGAATAATTTTTTATTGAATGACCATTTAACTTACTTCACAGTCAAATACAATATCATAACACACAATCCAACGGTAGCAAAATGCTAGCCCACAAAAACCTTTCAAGCATCCGTTTGTTGACTGACATATCTTTAACATTGAATAAAGGTTCATAACGTGATAATAAACTACACAGATATTTATAGGTAGAGAATAACAAAAGCAAATGCAACATAAATAAAGCATGAAAATATCATCTCCAATTAAACCAAAGAGCAGAACAAAAACTTCTGTCCCAACCTTAGATAAATAAAATCCCAAAGAAATATGTCAGCTATACAACTTACAAAACACTGGAAAGTCATTATAATAGAGAATGGAATAACAATTATTGTTGAATTAGATACATGTGAAAAAAAAAAAATAAAGTTCACAAAAATAAGTGGCAGCAACAAAGACCATCATTGAAAAGGCAAGAAAACCTCTTGCAATAAAAATTACTAAAAATGCAACTCCACATCAAAAGAAACACAATCAAATCTGAAGAATAATTCAAACTCGAACTTCCACCCAGGAATTCCCAAGACTGCATACAGGTCTAATTTCCCAAAAACATGTCAAATCTGGCTCTTGAAGGTGACACAAAGATGCTTCCATACACTCCAACAAAAACATAAGTATTCAAACCTGATTCTCAAAATGATATGAAATAGTTATTCCTGAATCAGATTTAATTGAGCTTAGCTAAGAAGTATATGTGACGTGGAGAGGTGAAATATCATTTTTCTCAAGCAAAAGGATAATCCTTTTATATAAACAAACGTTCAAAATTGGAGCAAATTAAAAACTGCCGTGTTGTCACCAAAAACTCTCATGTGCTTAAATTATCAGAGGTTTGGCCCGACGTGCTACAAAGAAGACAAATGGAATTCACTGATTTAGCAAAGGATTAGAAACGGTGCATGAACCCAATACAGAAACCTAATTGAGTCCAAAACTGAAAAAATATACACACACATATGCACAGACAAATAAAGACTCCGGAAACTACTATATGAATTTTAATTCTACTCAGGTCATCGATCCAGGATCTTAAAACCAACATCTGATTGCCGAAAAATGCATTAGGTTAGGAAGTATGATCTTATAGCACTTCTATCGTAAAAGTTCTGAAAAATAAATGCCAATAAGATGGAAAGCAGAACCTTGCCAAATATCATCCGAGCTCCTAGTTAAAGCTCTAGTGAACTCAAACGTCCCAGCTGATATTTATGATTGCACATTCCTTCCCACAATAATGCCAATTCTTTACAAATTGTGCCAACACAAGAGACGCAAGCTCATAAATCCAAATATTGTCAATTGACAACATGGCATGTCTAGATGGAACTCTTGGAATGTCTAGATGGAACTCTTGGAATGTCTAGATGGAACTTTGGGAAAAAGAAGCCCAGCAAAAGGATAAATCAATCCACTTTCATGTACGACTACTTAAAAGAAGTAAAGCACCATACGAAGGCATACCTTAACATTATTGAGTTCTTCAAGAAGCTTCTTAGGGTCTGAACAACCATCTTGAAAGTATTCCGCAATAGCAATGTTGTGAAGAATCTATAATCAAGGATATAGAAAAGTAGGATAATGAATACATAAGCCCTATACGAGACAAAAACCAAACAATCATAAAAACTAATCTCTGTTGACAGAATCTTAAAAATTCTGACTTCCAATTAGCAAACAATGGCTCTTAAAAGATTACATGCAAATTTTCATGTCTATATATCTTCACATCTTTGTAGAAAACCACCCAACAGAAAAACACAGACTGAAGTTTCTTAATTCAAGTACAAAGTAACAGCGGGATATTATGTTTGACCACCAAAGAATGCACGACTAATCCCAATGTTATTCTAGTTAACAAAAGGAACATCAAAAGGCCAAAGAATCTTTTCTAGGGAATTACACCATCAAAGATGTCTGCCAACTAAAACATTGTGTGCAAAAGGTGAACACTCGAGTCATGATTTGACAAATCATGTTGTTCAATTGCTTGTGCTGTTAATTTAGTGTGAGCACTACACAAGGAATTGAATCCTGTGTTTATCCTTTCCTCAAGATGTAAAAGATTGCCATCACTTTTATGTAACAGCGAATTCCAGCAGAGAGTCTATTACCAAAGACGACTTATTACAGTTGTATCCACATTAACAAGAAGAACAAAACGATAGGATTCAATCCCCAAATTACATCAAGATCATTCTTCTCAGACAAAATAAATGAAACCATCCAGCAGTCAGTATCCAAAAATCCAATCAGGAGGTAAGGACAAACAGCCCAACTGCCTTGCTAGTAAGTTCTCGGCAAGAATCTATGTAGTGGTCCCCAACTTTTATATCTGAAGAAAGCCATTAAACGAACCATTCTTGGAGACAAAGATAAATAGAAGTAAATGTGAAAATACCGCCATCCTATGTTACAATACAGGCCAGTAGCTATTCAAGAACCTGTACAACCATCATCAATTGGCTCCAGGTAAGCAAAAAAACACAACCAGGTAGATTGGGAAGAATATACATGGGCCAATATAAGAACCTCACAGAGTTATGACAACCATCAGTCTAGAGGGTGCCATTAGAAAGCATAGCACAAAGTAATTCTCTCAAGGACAAAAAATTGAAACATAAAGAATCTCAAATTCCTCCAAAAAGGAACATCTTACAGACATAAGTTAGCACGACACTCGTCTTTTTCCCAAATTTATTCCTCTTACAATCCTGGTATCTTTCCAGAGCTCCAAGAACACAAGCTGAACCAGCAACTTCAAACTACTGCTGAGAAACAGACATGTTCAAGCTGCCATCTTCATTCTCAAGCCTTCAAAGGCCAATATAACCAATCATCAGAATTCCACCTCCATCTGTCTCCCAAGTTATCACAATCCACCACAACTCCCAACTATTATAAGTGCATCTGTCTTTTATAACGGATACAACCTTAGACCTTGGCGATAGATATTGCAACAAAATATGAAGTCTGACCTCAGAAATTGCTTCTTTAATAATTCCAACAGCAAGCTGCTCTTGGCAAGCAGTCGCATAAATAATAAAAAAAAAAACTAAAATGTAAACTTTCACGTTCAATAATCCTCTGAATGTGCCAAAATAAATATATTCCACGTCAAAAACTAATCCAAATCGTAATTCACTTCCACAGACACTAAATAAAGAACCAAACTTAAAAAAAAAAAAAACTCTAAAATGTAATTAAAGAAGAGAAAGCTTCATAAAAGTAACATACAAAAGCCAAAAATTAAATTAACCTTCGGATCGTCCTCTTTCTTGTGCAAGAGCTGCTTCAACACACTGACACACTCCGCAAATTTCCCGGCCTGGAACAAGAGAGCCGCCTCCTTAGCAAGCCCCGCAGCTACTGAGAGAGCCACGTCATCCTCCATCGACCCTCGCAGAGAAGCAGCGGCCGTGGGCGACAAAGCACCATCTCTGTTATTGCTACTAACGTTATTATTGCTATCCCCAACCATGATTGCCGGCGACGACATCGACGAAGAAGAATCCATTTCACACTCACAGATCGACTTCAAGAATTAATAAAACTAATTACAAAAAAAAAAAAAAAGTACCAGCAGCTAATCCAAAAACCCTAGCTTTCTCTACTTAAAACCCCTCCGTCCCCACTTACTCTACTTTATTCCCCACATTTGAATCTAAATTGCGAAGATTGAGCGATAACCAGACCAAAAAAAACCCTAGAATTTCAAATTACGGACAGTAAAAAGATAAATCTTTCTATATCTGTATATATGCACGGGCGTATTGGAAGATTGCGTATTGATTGAGACGGGTTGATTTTGCGAGAAAATAGAAATGGATAGAGAGAGAGTGAAAAATCTAGAGAGAGAAATAACGAGGGGCGGGGAGGGGGTGTTGTTATACTGAGAGTTAATCACTTGATTTTCGGCTCGGGTGGGCCGGGGCAGGGGGTGGGGGGTCTCCCCGTATTGACATGAGCCATCTTGTTATTGGTATTCAGTGTTATGGTGCAGCTGCGGAGTAGGAAGGTGTGGGCGTGGACTTTGTTGGGGCCGTTGGATGGAAGAGAAAGTTGCGATTTGGGTTTGATTTGGAATGATCGGACGGTGTAAGAAACCACAGTTTTTTGTCTGAAACAGGAAATGTTTTGCACTGTTTATGGTACTTGAGATTTTGGAGCCATCTTTTTTTTTTTTTTTTCTTTTTCTAAAGGATGTACGCTGAACACTCGTTAATAGATCTAAAATTCACCTTATAAACTTATTATATATGTATATATAGTAATAATTATTATTCTTTCTTGAATTTATATATTTTTACTATTTAATTTTACCTACCTTCTTTTTTTTTGTATGTATATAATTTCTCTAATTAATTAATCTCATATTTTTTAAAATATGACACCTGAAAGTATATTTTAACGTGCGTTCATTTTTAAATAGAAGGAAAGATATAGGCTTATTTTAAATAGAAGGAAAGAAATGTGTGACAGCAGGGATGACCCTCCGCAGGTGATAAAATGCAGCAAGGAGAGTCCAACCAAATATGCTACTACTAGTATTTATAAGAGGAAAGAAAAAATATCATATATGTCCGCATCAATCAGCTCTTATGTCATGTACATGGTTGTAAATGAAGCTTTTAAAAAATTGAATTATAAGAAGACCATTATTGTGTTTTGGCAGAAAATTACTTTGTTTTCAATGCTCCATTCTTGATTTATATAGGATGACTGGTTAAGTAAGTAAAACTAGTTGTATTTGTGCATTGGCGTACCACCATTGGTGTTGTATCCATTGACTCTTGCTCATTTCTATGAATGTGGATGAATAAGGGCATTATTGTTCTTGGCTTGGTTTGGAATTTCGTTAGAAACATTCCTTTTTTTTTTTTTTTTTGGGACCATTTTCTATGCTTGTCAAGCAATCCTTTACCTTGAGATGAGATACCCTAAGCAACATAAAGATTCAAATCGCTTGGATGTTTAAAAGGAAGTAAAGGGACAGGATATATGCAGATATTTATTCCGCCAAGCAATTCATGACCAATAAACAGAAGCCTTTAATGCTTTCTTAAGTGAGACCGACGAACAAAAAACTTTAGTTCACTTAATTATATATTCTTAAGCATATATATATATAATCGTGGTCTAATACGCGCAATTTGGACAAAGCTTTTTTGGACAGAACCTCGCGAGCTCTCTCCATGGCGAGGGCTGCTTGGCTGAGAGCCGACATCAACAACGTTCATGGGTGCATACGTTTACTTTCAAGCAAAAAGCACGTAAAGAAAAAGCAAGCAAGAACCACACACCTTTAACTCGAGAATACGTGAAAAAGGCATTTTAGAGTAATGAACTGTAATGTTAGAGAATAGATTTTTAGGCTTCTTTTCCTTTCAGAGGATGGAAGTTTGGTTCAAATAGATCATGAGTTGGACCTAGCCAATCGGCAAATTCTGAATAGATCGTGAGTTTTTACTCGAAACGGATCTTCTGTCCCACACTCTATGCCACTCTCTGTCTCGTTTCACTTTTTATTATATTGCTATTTCTTCTTCATAAACATCATGTTTTAATTCTTTTTTGCTTCCTTAAGATCCGTTGCGGTTTTTACTCTTGTTTGAATTGCTATTTTTCCTCAAAAAAAATTTTGCCGCATCTTCTAATCACTTTTTTACTCACATACATTATATTACAGCATTATATTATTCTATAAAAACTCTAAAATATAGTAATCCAAATGGAACAAATTAATGACTGGATCTCCTTATATATGGTCATTTATTTAACGATCAATACAGTTAAATCGACTTGAATACAAACTGAAACACAGGTCTTTACGACTCCACTAATTTGATAATGCAAAATCTCAACTTTTTTTAGAGATATTAAAGTTGCTCCTCTAACCCGCAAATCTTCATCAAGCGAGAGTCGGTGGGTCTGTTTAGATTGCGGGTCTGTTTAGATTGCTATAATTTTGGGAGGAAAAAAAATTTCTTGCATTTTAAATATTTTTTTAATTAAATTTTTATTTTACATACATCGCATCATAAAAAATATTATAATATTTTTTAAAATATTTTTTAAAAAATAATATTCAATTCAAACACACCCCGTCATAATTCCTTCTCTTCTCCAAGTGTAAAGAACTCGAAAAGATCAGTACCATGATCGGACTTAGATCATCAGTAGCAGATGCATCATCTCCTACTTGTCATTAATTCTTAAATGGTGAGTTCACTATTTAATTGAACAATTTTACAAGTTCTACCCTCTCACTGAAACTCGATTACTCAAGGAAGAATTGCCAAAATTTTTTGTTCAACTTGATACAAGGGGCTGGACAGGCAAATTGTTTCCTTAGTCCAGGACTGCAGAGCAAAAACTTAGTGCAGGTCAACTCTTGGCTCACGGAGCGGGCCTTCCAAATATTTGCAGATTCTCTTGTTAGAGCTGCTGCTCATTGCTCATTGCTCAATGTCTTTGACCAGGCGATAAAGGAGAGGCATCGGCAATTCGTTACTTCATTTCCAGGACGTAGGCTTCTCAAGTCGATGAAATGCCTTCCCATCCAACAGTCTTCTATGGCCAGTCACAAGACAACAAAGGTTTCTCATGGAGCACGATCCTCGAAAAACTTGAATCAGATGACCTTGCACCAAAAAGTGCACCTCTTGTTTCAAGGCCTAAAGCAGGACTACGGAAACGTAATGTAGAATGATCCCAGCACAGGCTCTTTCTTTCAGAACACGGCATTTCAATTGATCAAAATAATCAAGGAACACTTCTTAACATCTCCAGGATGGAATCTGCATCTCTAATGCCCTGGCTTTCCTGTGATTCTTCATTAGTTTGAGAGAAATCAGCACTAGTATAAGTTAGTACTCCTGGGCCATGTCCATTACAATCCCTTGCACGTCCTTGCTGTGCTTGTCTTACTTCCTTTTGATGTTCTGTTAAATCAGGCCGTTTTCTCTTTGACCTCAAATGCAGCTTATTCTCACCCTGCAAATCATTCATGGCATCCCCCACAAGTTCAACTCTTTTCGAACAGCTATTTACTCTTGCAGTCACAGAATATCGCTGAGGAGAGATGTTGCTTGTTACTCCAGAACCATTCTTTCCACTAATTGCCAAGACGCTTTTGCAGATGTTTATTTTTCCATTTCGTGAAAGTTTGTCCAAGACTGGTAGCAAGTTATGAGGGTACTCTAGAAGTACTTGTTCACCATATGTAGAGTTCCAGAAGTTGATGGTGTTCTCAGAGATGGTGACGTTCCAGTGGTCAAGAGTTTTTTCAAGAAGAGATGATTGAAATTTTAGGAATTCGGAATCAAACTTAATTGAGGGCCTACTCTTCCGCAAGCTATTCAGGACTTTAGTCCATAAAAGTTGAAGCTGATCGGTGGTCTTCTGATCATTAACTGCCACCAATGATAGCCACTCAAGTAATGGACTTGTCATAGCCTGAGCAAAAGAAAAAGTAAGTACATACAAAGGTAACTATCCTGAATTAACAGAAAGATGTGCTTCAAGAGCAAACCCATCAAAGAATACTTTAAGCTGCCTAAATTTCTTATGCTTCCATTATGTACGATATCCGAGTTATGTAAATGGAAACTGAGAAAAGGCCTTCTTATGGCTCCTTTACACATGAATTGGCAGTGGACCCAGAATGGAGATAATAGAGAAGAAAAGGAAACCAAAAAAAATTAAACCAAAAAAGTATCCCAGTTCCACCTTACTTCACAAACTAGAGATGATATCCTGTCTTAGACCTTTTATAATATTTCTTTTAGAACTTTAAAACTGCAGCAGCGCAGAACAAGAAGGAAAACAAACCTCAATGAATGCAACAATATCTTCTTTCAATTGAAGGCTGTCTGCAAACTGGATCAATGTTGAGAACAACCTGAAATTTATAGTCAGAAACTAATGCTATACTCATGAAATATTAGTAAATGCCCATGTAGCATCAATAACAACCTTGAAGATAGAGCCTGTATCATTGGCACGATGGTTTCTTTTTCTGCAAAAGCCAGCTTCAGGAACCTACCCCATGACATAAAAGAGCCAACAAGTTAATGTCTAAAGGCCTGCAAATGCTGAAGAAGTTGCTAATATATTAGCTATTAATAATTTTTCACTTGCCATATGTGTAAAACTTGTATGATGGGGCCTTAAAACTTCGGTGATTTTTTAATCAGCAAATATGAAGGGATGACAATTGATGCTGTCTGGGCAATTGACTTGATTTTCAACTTACATGACAGGAAACATGCGAACATATTCTTTATACACAAAACGTAAAAGAGCTGCTAATTATCAGAAGAATACACGCAGCAGTACATATAGATTTCATCCCAACATTAGTCTAAACAATAGTCTGACAATTCATATCTGTTAGCTATATTTAAACTGTTCACAAGCTAATTCCAATCAGCATATTTTCTGTTTACCTCAAAGCAAATCCCAAGCTAGTTTTGAAAATGCTGGAAGTCCTATTATTGCCATTGCTCATTGTACTTCGTATGAAGCGCACTTCTGAAACAAATTGCTCCATAACACAAGAAATCACATTTCCAATCAATAAAAGCATGTCAAAATCCTGATTCTTGTCCCGTTGCTGAAACTTAGCTCGACTGTCAATTGTCACAGTAATATCATTTAAGTACTCATCCAATATTGCAAACAGATTCTCAGAAAAATTCAAATCAGTCGAACACTGCAGTGGGGAATCACGATGAACAGAAACATATAACTGTCTCCACACTTCAATAATATCCTGAAGCCGTTGCTGGCTCTGCAAGTGTGAGCATGCAGCAAAAGGATAGGATAGGAGATGAAATACTACAGCACAACCATGGTTCTTTGATCCCATTTTGAAAAGTGAGGGGTTTCTCTTGTCATCTAAATAATCTTTAAGAC